GGAGGAAGAGTCAGGAGTGTGCTGCGTTTGGATGAGGTCAGGAGATACAAGTGGTACAGCTAGGAGAGCCGTGTGTGCTGCCATTCTAATTTGGGCTCTGCTTTATTAAAAACAGGAAAACCTACCTCCTTGATGTGGAAATGAACTGAAAGGCGGAGGGAAAGGTATACACATGCGGTGTCATTTTCTGTGTGGTTTATTCTAAGTCAGTGAAGTCCCCCAGGTGCACAGGCAGCAGAAGGCAGGATGCATTAACGGACACCCATTGAGTGGCAGAACCAGGTCGTGTTTTGTGTTCTTGACAGCAGCTGCACACAGCAGCTGGCTGCTGGCAAGGTGAGATCCCGGCTCCCCAGAAGCCTCTCGGGAAGAGCCCAGCAGTCAGAGCCTAGCTGGCTATGCTGGGGCACCCTGGGGTCTGTGGCAGTAGGACAAAAGGGTGTGGGGCTCGAGCGGGTTTTAGTGTGACTGCTTCACTGCAGAGAGAAGGGAGCTTGCGGGCAAACATCTTGAGAAAGGAACAGCTCATCTTTCAGTTAGAAGAGCCCTCTTGAAAACACTGTTTTTAGTGGAAATGGTACTTATTATTATGCTAGTGATTTTTACTCCTTACCCCTACCCAATCCAACAAACATTTAAAAAACCCCTACTGGTGCTCAGGACTCTGAGATGCTACTGGCTACCACAAAGGACTCAACCTGGATTCATAAGAAAACAAAATGAAATCGCCAAGAGTCTTCTTAAGAATTAATTCCATTGCTGTGAGCAATGAGAAATTCTGAACCCTAGATCAGCGAGCTCCCAGCCATCACACACACACACACACACACACACACACACCCTCCACAAGGACTTCAAGTAGAAATGCTTTCTAGGTAAAAACAGCCAGGGCTTTTCGCACAATACCAGCCAGCTCTGCCCGGCCACCCTATGGTGCCACCCATGGCTGAAATGCTGATTACGTGGCTTTGTGCTTCACAATGGGCCTGTGGGTCGTTCTGTTTCTTGTCAACTTCAAACAGGCTGAGCAGTCTGAGTTTGTTTTAACTCTCTTGACCCCAAATGCCTATTGTCTTTATCAGACTTCATTCTTATCTTTACAGAAAGCTTTCTCTTTTTCCTGTTTCCTCATATTTTCCTAAAGTGCACACATTCATAGAGACATGTCTGAAAAAAATGAAGCGGACAGGACAAGCACCCAATTTTTGTTTCTAAATCATTATTCATAGAATTCTCCAAAGTTAGAGCCTTTGGGCATTGCGACAGGAATCATCTCCATCTATCTAAGTTGGACAAGCTCTGGTAAGTATGCACTGTATCCAGCAGTGCTGTGAGGGAGTTCAAGACTTGTCCTGCCCTCGAGGAGTTTAAACTCTAACTGCGTAAGACAGGCTACTCCAAGGCAAGACTTTACCTGTGAGTTTTTGAAGTCACATTTTTGGTGTCAGTGTTGCTGTGTATAAAGGTCATTAGTTTAATCTTGTAACATAGGGAATTTAGTTGTTCATGAAAATGTCTCTGAAACCCAGATGAAGAGAATTCAGGTTAGACTCTGGATGCTTTGGCTTTCGGCCTGATGGGTTTACTTGGCACTTGGTTCCAGACTGAGTAACTTGGAGCGCTAAGCAGTCACCCAGGCCTTGTTCTGGGATGTTCTGGCTCTCAAGCTCAGCAGCGAGGCTAGGCTAGGCTTTGAGGGCAGTTGCCCGCAGAGAGCAGCAGGAGCCGTGGGCACAGCAGCTGGAGTCTGGCTCTGAGAGGCCGAATCACTTTACCACTCCAACTTGAGTGGAACATAGTCTCCCCATACCATGGCGCTTTCAGGATTATGGGAGTGTGTGTTGTGCATTTTGGATATGAGATCTGCAAAATGTTTTTTGTGAGTTAAGTAAGTGCCCATTCTACAAACTTGGTGAGTTTTGAGAGCATAATTGACTTGGTCAAGGAGTGGAGCCTCAAAGCTGATGTTCTTCCCAATACACCATGAAGCTGCACTGGTCCATAAACTAAGAGCAGCGTCCTTGGGTTTTATCTTTGTGTCCTTGAGTAAGCGGATCTACAGTAGCTGGAAATGAAATGAAAAGAAATGCACTAAAAGCAACGTAATGTGCGTGCTTTATGAAAACTTTCAAGGCAAGTAAGATGGCTAATGTTAATTTTTATTTCATGGAAATATCCTTACTTGTGTTTTTGGTATGAATGTGTGTTTCAGCATGTGAGTACAAAGGCTGAGACCTTGAGGGTAACCAAACTTTATTTCACAGCCTCGCTGTAAGTTTAGGCATAAAGTTCATTTTGCAGATGAAAAAAGTGAGGTTGAGAAAGATCACGTTGGCCAGTGTATGATGAGCACTTCAGGATAGTGGAGTGTGATGTAGTTGGAGTTGAAACTAGCCTCATCCCCAAACCTATATTTTTGGACCACATCAGGGCTGTGTTGGAATTGGATCTGATTTCTGAAGAAAAGAGCTTCTATTAAAGAGTGGGTCAATCAAATTCCTCCGTAGGGTTTGGGAGGGAGAAGAGTGGAGACTAACAAAATAAGTATATCTTTATCATTAGCAAGGCTCCCTGACTGTTTGAATTCAGTCCCCCCGGACCAAGCTGAAATAGAAGCCAATTGTCCCATCTGTTGTCAAAACTGTCCTTCCAGACTTCAAAGTATCGGGCTCAGGAAGAATTGGGGCTGCAGGGCTCCCTCCCAGCCTGTGCAGCTCTCTGGGCTGGAGCCACGACTGTCATCCTCCCCCAGCCCAAACACGCTCAGGGCCCAACTTCTGTTTGAAGTAGATGTGTGACTCTTCACACTGCGAGGCGAGGCGCAGGGATTAGAGGAAGTGCCTCCCTGCGGGGCGAGGCCACTGAGGCCTTTGCCAGCGCCCCGCTGCAGCCCTCACAGGGTGATAATGGCATTCTGGGCTTTTCCACAGGGACCCCAGGACAACCAGGGCCTTAATTAAAGTGGATGTGTGGGTCTCAGAGGCAAACATGTCCTGTGTTTTGTGTGAGATTGTTCTGTGTTCTGATTGGTTTTGTGTCTGGCCTCAGACAGCAGGGTACTGGGTTGTCCACATCCTAAGCAGAAGCCTCCGCTGGCCTGGGACTCATTTGGCGCAGGAGCTCCCAGCAGACGTCGCCAAGTGGTCATTTCTGTTTGCTAGTGAGGAAAGAGTGGGCCGTCTTGGAAGCTTCCTGTGGGCCCATGGGTTTGACTAACACATTTTCATCCTCCTTTTCAGGATTATTCCAAGGAAAGGGCCACATGGAGCCCAAAAGGTAGCCACCTCAAAACTCACTCACATCATTCTAGTTTACATTTCAGTTGATGACATTTAGATGAAAATACTGAACTGTTTTGTTATACAGCGTGTATCTTTCTATAGAAACTCCAAATGTGGTTTTAGGGACAAAAAATGTTAAAAAAATAAAAAGCATCACATCTCCCTTCCCTGGAAAAAACTTACTATGATAAAAATCAGTGATATATTATGATTTCATTTGAGAATGACTCTTCACATAAACAGAAACTATATCTGCTTTAAAATTTTAAAAAAAAATTTTAATTGATACACAGTTGCATATTTATGCAGTATAATGTGATGTCTCACTGCATGTATAGAAATGTAATGATGACATGAGGGTAACTAGCATATTGCCTCATACATCTATCACTTCTTTTTGTTGGGAACACTCAAAGGCCTCTCTCCTAGATGTTTTGAAAATATAATTGTTGTGAGTGATGGTTGTTCTACTGTTTTATAAAACATTATAAAATATGTTCCTATCTACCCTACACTTCTCATCGACCCTTCATCTCCCCACCTAGCCTCTGGTAACTACTACTCTACTCTCTACTTCTACGTGATCAAAAAAATTTTTTCTTAGCTTTCACATATGAGAACATGATCTTTGTCTTTCTGTTCCTAATTTGTATCACATAATGTGGTCCTTTCTAGCTCCATCCATGTTGCCACAAGTGACAGAATTTCATTCTTTTTTATGGCTAATATTTCATTTCCTGTTTCCTTTCTCCATTCATCCGTTATGGACACCTCGGTTGACTCTATATTTAGCTTTTATGACTTGTGCTGCAATAAACATGAGAGCACAGGTGTCTCTCTGATACATTTCTTTCCTCTGGATAAATACTCAGGAGTGGAATTGCTGAATTCTCCAGTAATTCTACTTTTAGTTTTTTAAGGGACTTCTAATACTGTTTTCCATAATGAATGCATTAATCTACATTCCCATTAATGATATATCAGAGTCCCTTTTCTCTGCATCCTTGCTAGTAGCTATTATTTTTGTGGATAGCTATTCTAACTGGGACGAGATAATGTCTCATTATGCTTCTGATTTGCATTTCCTTGAAAAATATACCTGCTTTTATTTAAAATATCATTTTTCTGTTTGAGGTTGTTACTTCACAGTTTGGAAATACACACACACACAATGCATAATTATATATTATAATAATATGCAATATAATATAATAATCTACTACATATTATAATTATAAATAATTACATAATATATAAAATAATAATTATATAATATATCTTATAATAATTATACATTATTTAGTTTGCTCCAATTTACCTCCTAGACCACAAGGTAGGGGCTAAACCCAATTTGTTCATCACCGTGTCTCGGTATTATGTACTCAGTAAATATCTGTTGAATAAGCGAATGATTACTCGAAGAGTTGCCATATAATGATGATGGCACAGATTGGCTTTCACCCGTTAGAAGCCCGCTTTTTACAGTTTTTCTCATTAAAAAGATTCATTTTACATTTAGATTTTGTTACTTTAAAAAGTCACTAGTGTTTATCTTTATAAAGGAATACTCTATGGATTATCAGATCAGATGTCCAGTGGTTTGCCAGCTTGTGATATCAATAATTTAAATAATTGGGGAATAGTCTCCACAAGGCATGTAAAGGCAAAGCCCACCTACTACAAGTGTCTCAGAAAACCACTTGTCTCTGAAAAACTTACATTTTGCCTAAGAAGGAAGGAGTCAGTTGTTTCCTGGTTTAGTTCCAGGGTACGTAGTTTGCAGCATCTGCACACTCATGTCCTGCACCTTTTGCCTGTAAAGAGAACCAGCAGAACTGATGAGTGAAGTGACTGGACTCCAAGAGAGCAATAATGAAGACAGTGAGGAGCACCGGGCACACTGGCACACGTCTCTCATCTCAGCACCGAAGGAGGCTGAAGCAGGAAGAATGCAAGTTTTAGTTCCACTTGGGCAGCTTTAGGGAGAGCTTGTACCAAAATTTAAAAAAATGTAAAAAGCGCTAGAGATGTAGCTTGATGGTAAAGTTTCCCTGGATTTGGTTCCCCATACCACCCGTGCGAGGAGGCCTACGTTTACGGGAGCAGCGAAGTACACAGAATCATCCGGAAGATAACCTTTGCTTTGAGGAGTGTGGACGTGTCCATCGTGCAGCCAGAAAGGGTGGAAGATGCTGTTTCACATCCTTTCAAACAAGACCAGCATTGTCAGAGTTTGTTTCCTCTGCCATTCCCTGCTTCCCTCTGCCTTCAAATGATCTTTCAAACGTCTAGGGCCACATCACAGGATAATGGCTGTGGTTTGCTATCTACTTTCCTTTTTCCTGATCTTTTGTTTCAATGTCTGCTTTCTTTCCCTGCTGTGGATACTAAAGTCTGCTTGTGGGAGTCAAACTATAATTAGTTTCTATATGAAGTTTAATTCACTGTCGCTCTTTTGGCACTAGGCTCAAGTGGGCTTTGATGTTTGGCTGGAGCTTTGATCCCAGGCCCTCAAATGCTGGTCATCACCCAAACTCAAAAGACTGCCTTTTACTTTGCTATTTGGAGACAGCTTTCCCCAATGACATCATTGCGTTTGTTTGGCCATAAAACCTGCAAGGCATCATTTTGTTGTTTTTCTCTATAGCAAAATGTGCGGTTGACGCTCTTTCCTCTCCTCATCTGCAATAGCCCGCTCCGGGCTGGATCAGGAATTTGGAGAATGATGCTCAGCTTTGCAGGGTGCTCTTAGAAACAGTTCTGCCCAAGGGCAAAGCTCCAGACTGTGGGATCTGAGGACCCTTTCAGACGGTGCCCAGGAAACATCTCTGCGCACAGCTGCACAACTGCACCTTATTCAACCAAGACTCTCTTTCCTGCTGGCGTCTTTGGCTCACTTTTTAGATCCACTTTCTCTGCAGTGCCACACTGTCTGAGCGTCCATAAGCAGCTTGTCTGAGAAGACAGATGCCCGAGGGAAAGCAAAAGAATTCACTAGGGCTGAACAGTGCTTGAAAAGGACATGGAAAGAGGCACCCGTCCCTGCTGTACAAGGAAGGGAAAGGGAACCATAGGGGAAAGTGAGGTCTCATTGCCAACGGAAGGGAGCAGCGGGTGATTACTTTCAACTGTCTCCCAAATACCTGCAGCCAAAACAGAGAGGAAAGAAAATCCAGGGGACTAGACTGGAGAGGAGACCATCTGGCTGTCAGGTTGAGAAGAGGATAGCGGCAGCCCAGAGTCACACTGCTCCTCTGACACTGGCCCACCCCCGGAAAAACAGAGCACTGCGCTCCTTGCTCCTTCATTTGAGTCAGGGTTAGTTTAATTGGCACATGAATGAACAGAATTATTTATTAGGCTGTAATGTATACTTCGGAAAGCATAGCCTTCTTTTCCTATCTGTGACCATTTTATTGGTGGAACTACCTGAATACATTAGTTTTAATATTTAAACTTGCTGGTAATACTTTTTCAGGAAGATGTACAAGCTATTAGGGCAAATGGCCTGCTCAGGACTAATGAGCCTGCGTGTAGTGTCATTTGGTGGGAAGAAGCGGGTGGGAAGGTTTGGAGACACAGTGACTTGTCTGCTTTAACAAGATTTATTACTAGTATGTGAAAACACGTTTCTGCCCCCCTTATATAAATATAGTTGTCAATGTATGACATAACACAGGCCACAATAACAGGCTCCGCCCAGCCAGAGGAATCTAATTGAGAACCACAGAGCAAAATGCTTGTTGGAAACGAGCAGAATGAGAAACAAAGACGAACGACACGGGCAAGTGGCATTTGCCAAGCAAAGAAGTCATTATTCTTCAATGTCTTACTAACATTAGGGAGCAAAATTGATTCCTGTATTGTCAAATAGAACTTGGCACACAGTGGCATAAAGAATAGGTGACCTGAATAGACTTGATTTTGTATGCCTCGAAAATCTTGAACATGATTCCACCTTAAGCTCTAATACAGAGAATCTGATTAGTTATGAATTAAGATTGTAGTCTCTTTCAAGTCTGTGGGAGGCGGCGGGGGGCGGTAAGGGGTGTCAAGGAAGTGCTGGCTTTTGTTTTTGTCTTTTTGGTAAATGCCGACTTAATTCTATTTGTAGTAGAGATTAAATGGGTACTATTAAGTTTAAAAGTTAGCTAAGAAGTATGTTAATGAAAAAACAATTTACAACCAACTCACATTCTGTTGAGTCTTCCTCTAGCAATTATCAGTTGAATGCTTCCAAGGTGCAGGGCTGAGAGCGGTGACAATAAGAAGTTCAGGGAGCTTTTATAATGGAGCGGGAGAGAGGCGCTACACATAAACACCCACACACACAGATGTGTGCCTAGCCACATACATAATCCAACAATAGCTTGTGGTTAAGGACTACATATTCATGCAGCTAACTAGAGTTCAAAGAGGGGAGCTAGTGAACTGATCTTGGAAGATCAGACCACACAGAGAGGGGAAAAGAGAAAATTCAGAGCAGAGGCAAGAGGCCGGGCAAAGGTCTAAGAACCTGAAGAAACGGTGTAAGACACACGCTTTCACCCAACTCTGCCTGAGCTTCAGGAAATCCAGACCTGCTGGATTCAGTCTGAGGTACGGGGATGCACAGCTTTTTAAACTACACATGGTGCCATTCCTTAGACAAGCCAGCTAGGGGCGTTTTCAGGTCCCTAGCCCACGGAGATGCCCTGTGGCCAGTGTCCCAAGCAAGGTGACTGCGTTGCAAATATATTCAGAGGGATTTCTTAAGTCCCCCGGGGGGCTGCAACTTGGAACCTAGGTGCCCACCGCCAGCCAAGCGGTCAGCGCCTCTGCTCACCGCATGGGCGCGCGTCCGGGTCTCTGAGGCCTGCGCTGTGATCACTGCAGTTCGCGCAGCGGGCAGGTCCCGCTAGCAGCTCCGTTTGGGGCGGTGGGGATGGTGCTGGTTCTGTAACTCGTCCACCGGGCTATTAGGGGGCGAAACACGGATTCCGATTGGGGAAGTCTGGTTTCAGAGGAGAGACAAAATAACAACAATAAAAAACAAACAGAATCCCAAGCTCCAGGCGCCCACGGGCGACCTCCACTGTAAGACTTTCCTTAAAAGACTCAGACAACAGAACCTAAAGTTTTAGGGTGACACCGCGCCGTGCTTTGTGGGGTCTGCCTTTACAAAATGGAGTTTGTGCGAGAAAGATCCCCGGGATCGGTCTCGGCGCGCCCTGCGCGGCTCGCCGGCGCGCGCGGACCGAGGGGCGCGGAGCCCGGGGCG